TATTGCTTTTTTTTTTTTTTTTTTTTTTGGAGACTCCAAGAAAATAAAATTTGATTTAATTTATGTATAAACTGATGCAACACAATTTTCTCTTAAGCAGCTAAGGAACACCTCAGTCTGTGATACGGCTTAGACTGTGGTGCAATCACCTCAGACTATTGGCTTCCTTTGACTGACGTTTTTTTTTTAATTCTCTCCCAGTCTGCCGTGTCTGCCCTTCTCCTCCACATTCTGTTCCTCTTGTGACAGAGAAGACAAGGATTATCCTTCCAGTGGATTCCCACTTGACACAGAGTGGGCTGTTTTTGAACTTTGACTGACTGGGGCCCCTTCATTCCCACTCCCAGGCTGTTGGAGCTCTAGTGGCTCAGACGTAACAGAGGATGCTGCAAATAATAGTGATGTTGTCAAAGACAGACGAAGAAACAGACTTATGGGAAAGAAAAGGGGTCCAGAAGACAGAGGCTTCTGAAAACTGCTTAAAGAAATAAAATGTAAGGTGTAGATTATTAATCTTTGATTTGCAGTAACTTTGAGAATATATCAGGACCAACAAGACATGGTAGATGAATGTCAGACTGAAACACCTCAGAAGTTCAGAGCAGTGTCAAAAATAACATATAATCTGTTATACGTTGAGCCCCTCTTGCGTCTTTGTCAGCCAGAAACACACAACAACACCCCACAAAAACATATATATTTAAGTACAAATATATGTCCAATATATTTAAAGACCTTAGGCTACTTATATAATCTTGAAATTTCAGAGAAATAGTAGAAAGAAAAATGATTCAGTCTGGCCGAGCAGTTTCTGGAACATGACATGAGAAGGTGGTCAGAACTTATAATAACTCATAAACAAACAGATGAGAACTCCACAGTCAACTGTCTGTGTCCTGACTCCTACTCCTACCTAAGTTGATTTCTGGCTTCTTCCTGTTTTTGTTCCCAGCACGCTGGCTCCCAAATCCACTCAGAGCCGTGGTGTCCTTCCCCTGCTAGGCTGTACCCTCCTCGACTAATTGAGATGTCTGCATGTTCAGATAGAGCCACCCCCCCCCCCCCCCCCCCCCCAAACTGCAGGGATCCCTGAGTGAAATCCTATAAGTGTAACACCGCAACCAAGCAGCCTTTTAACTTAAGACTAACAGAGCTGGTGGCTCTCAGAGTATTTTTTGATTTTCCTAGCAGCCAGCCACAGGCCGTCACGACACTTAGCCCTGTGAAATACTCTGGTATTTCTGGAAGGAACCCTTGGTGATGGAGCAAAAGTAGAAGAAGAGACAGAGGGAGAATGATGAAAAATGTGGCAGACAATAGTGGCAGATAAGACCAATAATGGACACTGAATGTGATATATGTCCGGTATTGAACATTATTTGAACAAGGGACTACAAGGTGGAGAGATGGTACGCGTGCTTGCCTTACAGTAAGGTCAGTTGTTCGATTCTAAATCTACTTGTTTTACATGTATGTAAAAACTGTACATTTCTTCTAATTTCAGTTTTTGCACTGCAGCTGTACTAGTACAGAGGGTCCTCTGTATACAACATCCTTAAACTTCACCATTACGTACTCACACCCTCTACATATGAATTTATTAAGAAAGTCTTGTTGCCTCATTCCGATGAGAAAAACGACTGTTCATATTCGGTTTTGTGTCAGGGTTTTTATAACATCCTTAAACTTCACCATTACGTACTCAGATACGTACGAAGATCAGTTCCCAGGTTTCGGTGTATGTTGCAAAATTAGGACTTAGGAAACAAGGAGCCACTACGGGACGACTGCACGGCTTGGTAGATAAAGATTAAATACATACATACATACTTAACCCTCCTTTCATTCTAAAAGGTTCAAATGTTAGTCTGTCTTCGTTAATGGTGTCAGTAAATAAAGTAATAATACACAGCGCAGGATCATTTGTTTTAAATTGACTTCAATTGCAACAAGATAAAAGCATAAATTTAAAAAAAAAAAGACAAAGAATGATGATGAGTAAATCCAAGTATGATTCAGTCTGAGTGTGACTAAAAGGCTTGCTGCCAGATGCACCACTATCTACCCTCAGAGTCCAGGTGGAGGTGGCAGCTTCTCTGCCCACCAGCACTGGGTCCTGTCTGATCGGCTTCCAGACTCCCACTCGTCCCCCCAGGAGTGAAGACTCAGCCTCCGCCACCGAACCCAATTTAGCTGCTGCTAACACTGTGTGGTGAGTGAGCTCAAACGGTCCTCTGGAGCCTTCACACAGTCTCTCCGTCAAAGTGTGGATGAATACCTGAAAGCCACTGCAGAGTGTGTGTGTGTGTGCGCGTGGATAGTTGCGAGGCAGTGTTATTTGGTTGAAAAAGAGACGAAGAAGTGTGAAAGGTAGGCAAGGCACAAAAATAGAGAGTGTCCTGGCCAATGTGTAAAGAGGTTTGACTAACACAAGTTTCAGCGGTAGCCAGAGTGGAGTTACAATTTCCACCACATTTTCAAAGTCTGTATTCTCCAGCATGGATTTACTTTATGTCAAAGTAGGACAGTTTCTGAAGTGGAATTTGAATATTAAAGGTTAAAAAAATCCCAAACGTCAGCCTTGGGTGATGACACACTCCAGGAGATATTTACTATTAGTTGCAAGCCATACAACAGGACAAAATACTGTTGAAGGAAAAAAAGGTGCCACAGACATTTCGACTGCAGGACGATGTCAACTCTAAGTTCCAAAAACTGCCTTGAAACAAATCAAACAGTCACCTGTAGTTAGGACAGACAGCGTGTTATAACACACAACAAGAACAATCAGATGTCAACAGTCACGTTTCAGACCGTGTCGATGATCATTTCTCCATCACTAACTGAGATCCAATAACAAGTCATTACCCCGACTGTACCCCACTGGGTTCAACACCAGCCCAATACAAGGGCTAAAAAGCTTTTCTCACAGAAACTAAACACCAATGCTCCACCCCATCCTAATAAGGCAGATAGAAACAGCAACTACGTTCCTTTACTTATATTACAGACCATCCTTCCAGCAGAGGTTGCCTACAATAGGCTCTCTTAAAAAAAAAAAAAAAAAACCTCTTCTATTAGCACTACATATGGTGTCAAATGATCACCATTGTTTTTGCCAAACAATGGCATTGGCACCAAAACTGATTTATGACATCCACTGGGGAGTTGGAAGATTCATAATCACTTCATGAAATGAGCGGTGACATTACAACAAGCTGGCCATCTTTGACCACAGGAGCTCTGAACTTAAAGTAGAGCCAGCTGTGGATTAAACCAAAATAAAGTTCAAACGCATGCCACCAGGACCTGGCTTGATACAACAGTTCATTTGTCAGTTCCTCCTCGGTCAATTAGTCATTAGGAAAGTAGCAAACATTTGAAACATTTTTGAACATAGTGCTCACGCAAATTTTATCCAGACCAGTACTGCATCAGGATGACTCACAAGTCTTGCTTCCCTCCACTCTCCCACATGTCCACGTGATCTTTATAGTAAAGTGTATTTGAAAAATCTCAATATCATATTCTTTACAGATTGAGCTCAGAATAATAATGAGCAAACAAACCAAGGTGTCAGATTATCTAGGTCTAGGCGTGGTCCTGCAGCGTTCTTATTCACAATGATAACAGATGAAACCCACATTTGGATGAAACATTCAGAAAGGTGTTTGTAAAATCTACAAAAAAGATCCCCTAATTTTAACTTTCCCACAGTGTTTTTCAGTAAGGTGGGTGAAGAGTTGATTTCACGGTGGGAACGTGGGATCTAAGTCCGACACACACTAAATCACACACAGACAATATTTTTGTTTCTAGGTTCTGTTGAAAGGCCTCTGGCAAACTTGAGAACATCCTGCACCGTGAGAAGTGTGCAGAACACATTTGGGCCAAGAACAGGATTAAAGCCAAGCAGCCAGAAAGCAGCCATGTCTAAGAGAAAAGCTAAAAGAAGAAGATGGTGTTACAGAGACGCAGTAAAACCAACAGTGTTTCCTAAAGGGATGCTGTCACTGCCTCTTAGTTACAGACGTGACAGCAGCGTAGGAGCAAACAGGTTGGCAGGAAATCAAATCCGAGCCTTTTCTCTGCTGACATAAACATTTGTTCTATGCCCTCCTGGATTTAGAAACACAGCATCAATCTGAGAGTGGACTGAGAACAATGCAATAATCCACTGATATTCTATTAATCCACGATGAATGGACTACACAGATTTACGCAGGTGAATAATGAAGATGTTTGGGTCATTTTTGGTGTCTAAATCCAAACTGGCTTCACCTACAAAGGTGTTTGGATAACGGAGTCCTGCGTTAGAAAAACTCAAAGCTTAACATTTAAAGCCAGCTTAAAATCAGCTTTTCTCCTGAGGAAAAGCAGAAATTTGACATGTAAACACATTTTATAATCCTCCTTTTCTTTAATTACATGCCCACACCTCTGAACTGAAGACTGCATTTGTAAGAAAAAACAAGTTTCCTAACCCTATTAATACTGCTTTAATGCAGCGCTGACTGGTTGTTCATTCTCAACCAAGTCAGACCACTGAAAATACACAGCTATAAAAGAATAACCTCTACCAAAGAACACATTCAGAATTCACCTCTTATTAGATATACTTGGGCCAATGAAAACAGGTTCACCGTCTGTGTCTTCTGATTGGCTAATGTTGCTTTATAGTTTAGGTTCTACTGCCTTTCACTGCCTTGGAATAGTTTTGATTACAGTAAATTCTTGTGGTCGCCATCATCTGATATTTCTCTTCGTGATTCACAGGAGGTTTTAGTTAGAGACATATGTGGACTGAGGTCAGTCCGGCACATACATTCAATGTCTGTCTATCTATCCATCTATCTGTCTGTCTGTCTGTCGGTTTGTTCTAAGTACAATGTTATGAGTCATTCTTGTGCATTATCTTTGTTCATAATCAAATATTCGTCTAAATACCACTTCTCATTTGCTTGTTCTGTGTGAAAGTCACCATGTGTCTCTTCACTTACTTCCACCTCTGAACATCAGCCCGTGAATTGAACTCGTCTCCCCTTCCATCTCTTCTCGTCATCCTTTTCTTCTCTTCTCCCCTGCAGTCGTGCTTCAGTTCATAATGGAGTCCTGGATGACCTCCAAGATGTTGCTTCCACCACCCGCTCTGCTGCGCCACCTGCTATATTCAAATCTGAATGTCTAATCAAGACCATTCTCTTTCTCCCTGGAATAAACACAATTAAAAAAAAGAAAAAGAAAACTCAGTCAACAGTGATCTTTTTTCTCCAACTCCACACATTCATTAACAGCCCTCCAGTGCTAGCAAACTCTGGGTCAGGTCAAAGCATTTAAGGCAGAGGAGACAGCTTTTTTTTCTTTCTTTCTTTCTCTCTGTCTCGTCGTTTTTCAGTCAGGGCATCTTCGAGGTTAGCAGATTTGCATACAGCATCAGACATGAGTATCCAGAGGCGTCGGGAGATGCGTCAGGTCTCAGATCATGCATACAATGTTCATTTATGGGCTTGACAAAATAGGTCATGTCATGTCATGTCAAGTTGCGTCACACTGCTGTATGAAGTTATCACATCATGGTCCATTGTGTAGCTGTCAGTGGGAATCACAGTCAGACTGGTGTCACTCTGTTCCCCTGAAGAAGAAATTATAGATTTTTCTCTCTCCGAAAAAGTTAAAATTATGAAGCTCGGAGAAAACCAGTCTGCTTAAAATTCAACCTTGGTTTGTAATTTTTTTTTGTTCTCTCACATAGATACTGGTATTTATACTGAGTAGAATACAATGTTTTTAAAGAAAATAATGGATGATTTTGAGTTGAAGCTGCTGCAATGCTGCTGAAAACTAATTTTGATCAGATTTTGGGCAAAATTTTGAATGATCCAATTAAAGGTGTGACAACTGTATACTTACTGAGGCATCGTAGGCAATGATGTAGTAATGGTCCATCACCTGCACGGAGGCCTGGAGGTGTATGGATCAGGCTTCTTCATCTGTTCATCTGTGAGAACACTTGTGAGGAATCCAGGCTGTAGTTTACTTGCAAAGAAACTGTGGACACAAAAAAAGAACAAGAATGACACTATTATTTAATCATTGGTTGGACAACTGCTGATTAATAACCCCAGGAAAACCAACAGACCTTAAGCTCCTATTCAGAATTTGGACACTGCAACACTGACAGCAATGTGGAGAATTTATGTACAACAGCACGCGAGACACAGAAAAACATAT